TAGTAACAATCATTCAAAAAATTACTAAATGTATGCTTCTCAATTCTCCCATGGAGAAGAAAAATGTTCCTTCGTGGAATAAATAAAAGGTGACCTTAGCAAATTAAAATAATAAAACAGTTAATAATGAAAATTTATTTTAAAAAAAATTTCTGTTATAACGCTTCTATTTAATTAACATTTATTTAAAGTTGCGAATTTTGATGTGCGTGACGTCACATTTCTCAAACTCCGCCCCTCCCCCCCCGGGTGCGTGACGTCACATTTCTCAAACTCCGCCCCTCCCCCCCCCGGGTGCGTGACGTCACATTTCTCAAACCCCGCCCCTCCCCCCCCGGGTGCGTGACGTCACAGTTCTCAAACCCCGCCCCTCCCCCCCGGTGCGTGACGTCATTTACGTGCTCACGATTCCTGCGCGCCCATTGGCTGCCAAATTGGGCCAATCAGCGAGCTCCTTTTCCAACGCGTTCACCGATGGACGCACGCAATTCGCGGTTCGTCAAGCCTCAGGCGAAACTCGACGCCACCCTGCACAGAGTTGTTTAGACGAGCCGCAAACAACGCCCGCGCACAAACAACAACAACAACAATAATAACAGTGTTGAAAGGCGAATGTCGTCACGACTACTCGAGAAGAACGGCCTTTCCACCCCCCCCACCCCGTGAGCGGGCGGAGCTCGGCCGCCTTGGGTGCGTCTCCCTCGGCAGGGGCTTCCAGGCAAGGCGGGGGGGTGCGGGGTTGGGGCTTCGGCCTTCTCTGAGAAGCGCACGCGAGAGGAATTTTGTTTGTTTTTACGCAGCGGGGCAAACTCGTAACAATAAAAACACGTAAATGTTTAGTATCTTTTTTTCGATTTAAAGCTTCTTTCGTGACTGCAGGGATTCATATTGTTGGTTCTTTCGGTAAAGTCATCACGTAGAAGGAAAATAATAAAATAATAATAATTAAACAATTAATTAATATTCTCACGACGTTTCGGCCACAACGCAAGCAGCCGTCCTCAGGTGAAGAACAGGTCTGTCGGAAAGACAGCGTCTGTTCTTCACCTGAGGACGGCTGCTTGTGTTGTGGCCGAAACGTCGTGAGAATTATATTTTACTATGTTTTATTTTTATTATTTTCCTTCTACGTGACTTTACCGAAAGAACCAAGAAGATGTTTAGTATCTTGTGGGTGTGTGTTTAGGTTGTGTTTGCAGCGCTGTTCTGTTTATTAATGGGTGGCGGTATTTTATTTAGTTTAACCTGGAGATACAACAGTAGTCACACTTGCAAACAGTGGCACGGGTCGTCAAATACAATTTATATTTTAAAAACCTCAAAATGTATGGACACCATACAGCAGTACTGGGGACGACTGCTTGTGTTGTGATCGAAACGTCGTACACTTTTATTTTATTCCTACGTGACTTTACCGAAATAACTAAAGAGTATGGATTCATAATCTTGGTTCTTTCGGTAAAGTCACGTTGAAGGGAAATAATAAAATAACAAAAATATAAAACAATAAAAATCCTCACGACGTTTCGACTGCAACACAAGCGATCGTCATCAGGTGTGAAATCCACAGCAAGAAAATTTGAAAAAGTGGCGGTTGTTTTTAAATCCTTTATATTAAGTTCGCTTGCTTGCGCGCTTACGACCGTGCAAATCTTTCGGTCGTTTTTTAACCCACTTCCCGTGATCCAATCGAGCTGACATTTTGCACACAGACTCGTTGTGCGAGACAATTAATGTTCGTGAAAATGTTTTTTCCAAAATTTTACACTGTTTAGGGAAAAATAAATATTTAATTACCAATTGCTTAATGGTGGCAGACAATCATCTGACCCATAGGTGGCAGCCATCTCAAGCCAGAGGATGAGAGGACTCTAGCCGCCACGCACATAAAGGATTTATAGTGAAAAACTTTGTTTTTACGGGTTAATTTTTCCTAACTTTTTTCCTATTTTCTTGCTGTGGATTTCACACCTGATGACGACTGCTTGTGTTGCAGTCGAAACGTGACTTTACCGAAAGAACCAAAGAGTAAAGCTCTCTTCTAGTCAATCAACCCACTACATTTGCACATTCCTGCCGCCATGTCCTGTATTCGCCAATAAGCCTCATATCAGGTGAAATAAAGTCTCGAGTCTGACCTGAGTTGTATTCCCAAGCACAGTTAAACACGAGTGGCGAGTGAGATCTGAACAAGTCCTTCGCAAACCCCCGTTGACCAAGTGTAGTGATCACCAATGACCATCACAGCGTGGGTTTGAGCGGTTTCATCCAACACTGGATTGACAAATGGCAACATTATTTTCACGTATTTATATTGTATTAATTTCAATGGTATACTCTACGGAAAGACGGAAAGTGCTTTCTGCAACACTGCGGTGAAAGCGAATTCATACCCTTTATTTCTTGCCAGGAGCTTGAATCTATGCATATTCAAACAATAGTTGACTGACGGTTTAAGCTGTACAGTGATACCTCGGTTCACGAACGCTTCTGTTCACGAACAACTCGGTTCACGAACAGAAAATTTCATAAAAATATGCTCCGGTTCACGAACTCCGCTTCGGTTCACGAACAGGAGCCGTGGCCATTTTTATGCTAATTCCAGGCTGTCACATGGTCGTGACTTCCTGTAGGAAGATCGTGGAGAGAAGCAGAGACACAGAAAGAAGTACTGCGAGTACTGTGAAGACACTTTCAGTGACTTTTAGATTTTTGGTGTGCTTTTTAGCACATACAGTACAGTACTACTGTACTGTACAATACTGTACTTACTGTAATGTACAGTTCACCCGTTTGAGTGCTTACTGTCTCCCACCCGCCTTCCACTTGCCTTCCTCCATGCCAGAAGTCATCTCAAGCAAGGTTAGTGTTCTCTCTTTATACATTACTATACTGTACAGTACTAATGTGTATTGTCATTTGTTTATATTTTTGTGCTTCAAAAACCAAAAAAAAAGGTCAGAACGGATTAACCGGATTTACATTGAACCCTGTGGGGAAATGTGCCTCGGTTCACGACCAATTCGGTTCGCGACCAGAGTCAGTTCACGAATTAAGTTCGTGAACCGAGGTATCACTGTAGTATGAAATTTAGATCAATGAAAAACCCATGGTTGTGTGTCAGTAAAACATTGCTGGAACGGTAAAACACTTTTTACAACAGCACACGGTTTATTTCCTATTTGTAACTAACACAATGTGGTGTGGCCCCTTGTCAGTGTTGGTAATGTTTGAGTTGCAGAGTCGTGAGAATGCTGATTTGGAATGTGTCTCATTCTGTGAAACGCAGCAGAGAGAAAGCGGGTCTCACACCGAGCAAAGACAAAGTCGTGGTGCACTGTGTGGCTAAAAGACGAAGTGGGCGTGCAGACATTCTCGTGAGGCAACGGATTCCCATTCGTGTGGAGACTTTAAATTCATGGATCCTCCTGATGATTGCAAAGAGCTCCCTTCGCAAGTCTTTATCGCAGATGTCGTGGCGAAGAAGCTCGGTTTATCAGGCAACAGCTGCGACGCGCCGGAGGTAAACGAACTTTGTTTTCATAGTCCAGTACAGGATGCAGAGGTCGCAAACGGGTTTTGATTCCTTACCCGTACCCGGCCGCACCAGGGTCGCAAATGGGTACCCGTACCCGGCCAGGTACAGGTAGCCGTATCCTACCCGTACCCTACCCGAAATGAGTGACAAACGGTTACTCACGGTTACTCACCAGTGACTCACGGCCTACCCGTACCCAGACGCACCAGGGTCGTAAACGGGTACCCGTACCCGGCTGGGTACGGGTAGCCGGGTATCGGGTAGGGTAGCCGGGTATCGGGTACCCGGTTGCAACCTCTGACAGGATGATCCATTCATAGATACAGCACTAAAGCCATACAAATATGTGGAACAATATCGAGAAAGCTATTTCAAAGCCTCTACACGTCCATCACCTATAACAATCCACTCGTTACATGTGTAACTTCGTGCATTGCTTTCCCAACAATCAGTCACCTGTGGAGAGGAAGTACTGTAATAGGGTCGTGAAAAACCAGGGCCCCTTAACATCGCCGCACCCCACCACACACTCGCAACTTATTTGGATTGGAAGTTGTCCGCGAGAGTCATTGCTGATGCGAATTCGTTGTTTCCCTTTGAAGTGTGATGGTGAGGACAGAAGCGATGCCATGCGTGGGGAATGTGACAGTGTTGCAGGAGACATCTCACTCGTGGATGTACTACTTGAAAAACAGCACAACCAAGACAATTGTTCACAGACGTTCAATCTTACTCAGAAAGACCCAGAACCACAAAAGTGGCTTCCCAAGAAGCTTACGCAACACTCGGCTTTGTCTTGTGGGACTATATTGGGCTGTGACAATACTGGTCAAATGAAAACACACAATGTGGAACAATTGCTGCCTCGTGACTGGAATAAGAATACACTAAAGAGAACAGAATATAATCCTCTACACATCGCACAAAATGTACAGACTGAGCCGCATCACGGTTTTTACGCAAATATTGTAGGAAACGACATTCGGAGCTCGTCGAGAGGCAATTCTCAAAATGCAAAACTTCCAAAGCTCGATGGAACCATTCGCACGTTAACGTCTAATTCTCAAGCTGACGCACAAACAGGTTGCTTTCATTCGGAGGATGAGATAGAATTGGCTGATATCTTAACGGACGATTTAGAATGTACTATTACCACCAGAAAACCGCCAAAACCCACTTGTGCTTCTGCACTTTCGGAAGCAAATGACTCAAATGCTGCCTTTAGTGAAGAGGCTGACCACATCGCTCGCGGAAGAGCCGACGGTTCTTCAACAGCAAATGCGCTTGGAGTGGAAAATATAAAAGTAGCTGCAGATGTAGCCAACAAGGGCACGAGCATAAGAGATCGCATCAAGAAAACGCTCGTGGCAAACGCGTGGGCGGCAGCTACCCGCGTGGTCTCGCGCACCAGGCACCTGCAGGAGTCTGCGCTGTCGCACGAGAGGCAGATCGCCACGGAGACTTGTGCTGATGACAGCCAGTTTGAGATTGGGCCTTTCTATGGGCTTCCCACGAAGGTGCACAGCCTTCTGCAACAACAGCGTGGCATTAAAGAGCTCTACGGTAATGTTTGCTGTTTTTTACACTCGGATATTTACGCGAAACTGTCTCTCGGTTTTTTTTCATGCCAACATATCTTTTTTTTTCTCTCGTGGGAGAAATGGTAATTGAATAGTATTTGGCGGACTTACTCTTTGGTTCTTTCGGTAAAGTCACGTAGAAAGAGAAAATAATGAATTAAATACTAGCAAACGACATTTCGATTGCAACACAAGCAATCGTCATCAGGTACAAATGAAAGAGAAAACAAAGCCTAGTAAACTTAGAAATATAATGCAATACAACACAGATAGTCGGCTAACATAACGGTCAACACCCTACCTGGATTGATTACGCTCTTCCAAAGATTGCTAAATTTAATAGAGAGATTAAACAGAACAGGAGACACACAGACAGACACATAAGCAGAGAGAGACAACACAGAGACACACAGAGAGAGACAAACAACATAGGCACACAGACACAGAGACACACAATATAGACACACAGACAGACATATAAGCAGAGAGAGACAACACAGAGACACAGAGAGACACAACATAGGCACACAGAGAAACGACGCCTCTGTGTCGAGGCCTTAGATAGAGAGAGGGGGTAGAGAGAGAGGGGGTGGGGGGTACAGAGAGAGGGGGGCAAAGAGTGAGGGGGGCAGAGAGGGAGGGGGGGGTTGAGAAATTAATTTTTAGTACATGGTGGAATTTTGCTAAATGTATTTTACCAATTTGTTTTTGTTATAACAGCATATCACTGCTTATTTGATTCGTACTGTAAACGTTTACACATCACCAGTGTCGTGATGTTAGCTGTCAAGCCTAATCCAATTTCTCACACATTAGGTGATGGTTGAAACATTTTTGTCGTCCTGCACGCAAGTTAATCATTTTAATCGGCGTTTTTGTTCTCTTAACGTGTAATAAGCCACCCGTTTGAAAAAAAATTAACCCGTAAAAACAAAGTTTTTCACTATAAATCCTTTATATGCATGGCGGCTAGAGTCCTCTCGTCCTCTGGCTTGAGATGGCTGCCACCTATCGGTCAGATGATTGCCTGCCACCATTAAGCAATTGGTAATTAAATATAATTTATTTTTTCCTAAAAAGTGTAAAAGTTAGGAAAAAAAATTTAACGAGAATAAATTGTCACGCACAACGAGTCTGTGTGCAAAATGTCAGCTCGATTGGATCACGGGAAGTGGGTTAAAAAACGACCGAAAGATTTGCACGGTCGTAAGCGCGCAAGCAAGCACGCAAGCACGCAAGCGAACTTAATATAAAGGATTTAATTACAATTGACACATTCACGTGTTTCAGATTCTGCCGTGCATTTAATCATTCTCTTTTTATATTTGTGTCGACACATGACGCCGCAAAGCCTGGCAGCACGACTGCTTGTCCCTGGACTCCGTGAGACGAGGGAAGAATCTGATTTACTCTTTACCGACAAGTGGCGGCAAGACGCTCGTGGCAGAGATCCTCATGCTGAGGCAGCTGCTCTGCAAGAGAACGGACGCTCTGCTCATTCTTCCCTACGTTGCCATCGTCCAGGAGAAGGTAACGATCGCTTTTGTACACGCACATTTCCACACCGACACAGCAGCATAAATGCGGTTATACGAATGACTCTTTGGTTCTTTCGGTAAAGTGACGTATAAAGAGAAAATGATCAATTAAATACTAGCATACGACGTTTCAATTGCAACGCAAGCAATCGTCATCAGGTATAAATGAAATAGAAACACAAATCTAGTATACTTAGAAATGTAATGTAATACAACAGAGAGTCGGATAACATAACAGTCAACACCCTACCTGGTTGATTACGTTCTTCCTGAGAATACTAAATTTGAGAGAGAGATTAAACAGAACCAGAGACATATAGACAGACATATAAGCAGACAGATATCACAGAGATACATAGAGAGAGAGAGACGTACAAAGGCACACAGAGAAACCACGTCTCTGTGTCGAGGCCTATGTTTTGTCTCTATGTAAAGTCCTCCAAGATAAGTCAACTGAGGCAGCCGGGAATTTGGAAGTCTCGTTGAAATATTTCCGTCTTGGCTTAGGAACAGATACTCGGATGCAGAGTACAATCTCGGGTTCATCAATTATTCCCACACGACACACAATTGTGATGTGTCGCCGCTGCTACTGCTGCTGCTGCTACTGTCGGGGTCGCTAGCCCCCGAGATCCCTCCCTCGATGATGCTTACGGCCGGGCTAACCTCATCAATCGCCCCCCCGCTGCTGAGCGAACCGCTGCTAGGTTCCTCACCCATGGTGTGGGAGCCGTCGCCCGAGGATTCCCCTCCCCCGCGGGTCCGCGTAGTAGGCATGGTTGGATACCGCGTAGTATTATGTCCCCCTTTACGCTACCACGATACCTCCCTTTCCTAATCGCGTACCTGCGACCCACACGGAGCGAACGTACGCACACACACACACCGCTCCGTGCACTCCAACTCCACACTGACTACTCGCGTTATGATCGTGCACCTGTATCACACACGGAGTGAACACACGCGACACCTACTCTCGCACCGCTCTGCGCAGCGCTCCCCCGAGGCGAGCCGCAGCACTACAGAACCACTGCGTACACACGCTCACCCACGCGCTCACACTGCACGACAAGATCACGCGAGACCACGCTTCGCTATTAATGATTTATTATCCGCTACCTGGAACTAGATGTTAAATCAGTGAGTCGACGAGGCTGGCCTACGCTGATACCTCTATACCTATTCCCCATTTATCTGCTATGATTCTAATTCACCTTCTTACTCACTGTTAAGTGTCCACGGCGGTCCGCTGATCCTTGTGCTAACCGCGTGCCTCGGTGCGTCGCACGGACGTCCGGGTCGCTGGCTCGAGCTGCGTCTGGTCGCCTGGCGCTGGAGTAAGAGAGCGATTTCCCCTCTGCGCCCCTCTATTTATCCTCCCTACCTCAAAGGGGATGCTGCGCTGAACAATGGGCTCGCGCACCTCGAGCCCGCGCACGGCGGTTCCGGGCGCTTTTGATCTGCTAATCAGTGAGCGGCGTTGGCGGCGTACATCCTAATTAATCCCTTACCCTTCCTAACAATGGGGCCTGCGCGCTCAAGCGTAATTATCCCAACCCTCCATGACTATGCGCAACAGCTCCTGCGGTCCCGCTATTCATGCTGTCCCGTCCCTCCCCTGCTTGCCCCGTCGACCCGTGGGGGTGTGTGTGGGGGGAAATGCGCCTCAACCGCGGTGGCCGAATGCCCCATGCCGCGACCACACCATATTAAGGCTGGTCGCAGCGCCGCGGCGCAACGTAGCACGGGGGAGGTCGTCCAATTCCCTGATCGCCGGAAACCGTGAGAGTTAACCCCGATAAGGGTTTTTCGGATAAAAACCGGTCGGCCAGGTGACCTCCCCTCGGAGCTCTATGGGGGGGGGGGGGGAAATGCGTGCGGGTGTGTTCGTGTGAGGTGAGGTGAGGGGGACGCGGGGTTGGCTCCGTTGCTTGGTGGTGGCGAGGTCGGGGATTTGGGCGCCTGCCGAACGGCTTCATGGCGGCGGCATCACACTACTACTGCTGCTACTACTGCTGCTGCTGCTGCTCGAACAGGTGCGGAGCCTGTCTGTGTTTGGTGTGGAGCTTGAAATCTTCATAGAGGAATACGCGGGAAGCAAGGGGCGCATGCCACCGCGAAAACACCGAAAGAAGAATTCTCTCTACATCGCCACCATTGAGAAAGCCCACAGCCTGGTCAACGCCCTTCTAGAGGAGGGGCGCATGAAGGAGATTGGCCTGATCGTTGTGGATGAGGTATGCGGCATTCATTATTTAATTACAGAGAATAATTGGCATCCTGCAAATGTCATTACAAATGTTACGTATTAATGTTCATCATCGTCATAATCAGCCGTCGTGAATCTACTTCTGGATGAGGGCATCCCCAAGCCTCCGCCATCTTGCACAGGCCCACAATGCAACAGTCCACCCAGCAGCAGCAGCACACGAGCTGTGACGTCAGTGCAATGTAGTGTTGAGTCTCATTTGCAGCGACGTACTAATGGTTTGATAATTGTTTTTTTACCCTTCTATCTGGCAACAAAACTGACACATTTTTTACGAGGCGTCATGTTTGCATAGACCACAATACCTGCAGTCATAATACAAACAAAAAACATAACTCTGATAATGATATGCACTGTCCTTGAAGTTGATTGGTCCACACCCAAGACAGCTTTCCTTAGAGCCTTTTGGCGTCATCTGGTCCAACCCATGTGAGACTAGGCTCTAAGGAAAGCTGTCTCGGGTGTGGACCAATCAACTTCAAGGACCATGTGAGACTAGGCTCTAAGGAAAGCTGTCTCGGGTGTGGGCCAATCAACTTCAAGGACAGTGCATACATTATCAGAGTTGTGTTTTTTGTTTGCATTCCGACCGCAGGTATTGTGGTCTATGCAAACATGGCTCCTCGTAAAAAAAGTGTCAGTTTTGTTGCCAGATAGAAGGGTAAAAAACCAATTATCATGTTTTACTGGCAAATGAGGTCCCAATGGTGTACTAATGGTTTGTTGCGTGGTCTGTAGCTGCACATGTTGGGCGAAGGTGGCAGCCGTGGGGCCACCCTGGAGCAGACGCTGGCCAAGGTTCAGTATGCGTCAAGTACGTTTGTTCTCACCCTGCAGTTATCATACATTACTGCGGGTTTCCAGTCGTCGTTGTGGTGATTCAGTTCCATCTGTGATTCAGTGTGGTGTTGCATTCGCTTGATTCTATTGCAGAAACAACTCAGGTCATCGGTATGAGTGCCACTCTGAGCAACATCAAGGACTTGCAAAAATTCCTGAATGCGGAGTTGTACACTAACGATTTTCGACCGGTAGGAATCACATTCATCTTCTTGGTTCTTTCGGTAAAGTCACGTAGAAGGGAAGTAATAAAATAATAAAAATAAAACAATAAAATAATTCTCACGACGTTTCGGCCACAACGCAAGCAGCCGTTTTTTTTTTGTCAAGACGCTCTTCACCCCTCCATCCCAGCTTAAATAGTCGCCCCAAGCCTGGGGTGTGTCATTCAGACTCTGTCTTCTCGACAGACCTGTTCTACACCTGAGGACGGCCGCTTGCGTTGTGGCCGAAACGTCGTGAGAATTATTTTAAAATGTTTTATTTTTATTATTTTATTATTTCCATCCTACGTGACTTTACCGAAAGAACCAAGAAGATGAATCCCTGCAGTCACGAAAGCTTTACATCGAAAAGAATCACATTCTTATTATTATTATTATTGAAAGTTTAATTTTCATAAAAATGTTGCGCAACTGATGTGTGAAAGATACACGTCTTCAACCTCTTACAAAAGTCTACATGGCTGCCGTGATCCTCACAGGTCCAGTTAAGAGAGTACATTAAGCTTGGAGACTCTATCTACGAGGTAAACAACAAGGCTCGGTGTCCAGAAGAAAGCTTCAGTTTTATCCGACTGCTCAGTCACAAGGTGAGTGCACAGACATCAATGGAAATAAAATAGGCACACAAGCTTTTGAACAGCTTTCAAGTTTAAATAACCTGTGAAATATATATCTGGACAGATGGATAGAGGAAGCAGACATTGCTTCTTCTTCTTGGTTCTTTCGGTAAAGTCAAGTCGAAGGGAAGTAATAAAATAGTAAAAATAAAACATTATACAATAATTCTCACGACGTTTCGGCCACAACGCAAGCAGCCGTCCTCAGGTGAAGACCAGGTCTGTCGGGGAGACAGCGTCTGACCTGGTTTTCACCTGAGGACGGCTGCTTGCGTTGTGGCCGAAACGTCGTGAGAATTATTTTATTATGTTTTATTTTTATTATTTTATACTTCCCTTCTACGTGATGACTTTACCGAAAGAACCAAGAAGAAGAATCCCTGCAGTCACGAAAGCTTTAAATCGAAAGAGACATTGCTTGTTGATTTTGTTATTGATACTCTCCACAATGACGTGATTGATTATTTTCTGAAATGCACAGTTACGTCTATTGACATTTCACGATGGGCTACATGTGATGGTTGTCAAAGCTTGTTCAAGAACGAGCCACTTTGCCATTCGCCTAGGTAGGTCCCTGCGGGCCACACGGTAGCAAAGCTCTCTTCCTACGCTACAGGAATTTTGCTGGAGCAGCCAGACCTGATGACGGACGCTTGTGTAGCCTTCGAAACGTCGTGATTTAATGTAGCTGTAGTAGTAGGTTTTTACCCTTTTAAACTGGTACAAAACTGACACCTTTATACAAGGCATCATGTTTGCAATAACCACAACACAAGTAGTCAAAAAAGCAAACAAAAATAAGCAAAAATAAGCAACTTTGATAATGATAATAATATGCACTGTCATCAGAGTTGCTTATTTTTGTTTGCATTTTTGACTACTTGTGTTGTGGTTATTGCAAACATGATGCCTTGTATAAAGGTGTCAGTTTTGTACCAGTTTAAAGGGTAAAAGCCTACTACTATATTTTGCCACTGGTAAAAGAGAGGTCTCATAGTGTTAATGTAGTTGTTTTCACTTTTTTAATTTTTTACCCTTACCCCACGTGACTTTACCAGAAAAACCAGGGAGTTTGGTAGCAGAGCGTTCGCATTCCCCGGTTCTCACCGGCCAGTTATCACCACGACGCACTCCGTACGTGGCCCAAGGCGGTCGGCTGGTCACATGCCCCTGTGCTACGTCGTGGCTGCTCTGTGTGCTGCGGCGACAGTACTCAAGCGCAATGCTGAAGACGGACCCAGACCACATCGTGGCTCTGGTCACGGAAGTCATCCCCGCTCACTCCTGTCTCGTCTTCTGCCCCACGAAGAAGAACTGCGAGAATGTGGCAGAGATGATCTGCAAGTACCTGGCAAAGTACGTGTACCTCTACATTGCAGTCGTACATCTTGCAAGAGTTACTCCTTGATGTCACATTAGAAGGCAGTTGTTCGATGTATTTACGTCGGTGTGTCAAATATCTTTAACGTGCACAATTGAGTTTTGAGAGTTGCTTGAATAAATCTATACTTTCAATACCGAATGCAAAAAATGCATCGTGTTGTTTAAACTGGAAATTCCTGAAGGCTCTTGTGCATTTCTTAAAAATGTTTACACCGATCTGTGCAGATTGTTTTTGTTATTTTCCTCAAGGGAAAGTGACCTTGCAGGGGGCAGTTCTTGGGCTACGAACCGAATTCATTCCTGAGACCCGTTCGCAAGTCTAACGGTTCATTACGAGCGGAACACAATAATGCGCTTATTTAAATGCCCATCAGGTCAGTGTTGTGAAATGTGTTACAGTTCAACAATAAGGAAAGCATTGTTAAACTCATAATGAATAAGAAATACTGTACTTTTACACTTGGTACTGTAAAAAGTACTGTATTGTAAATAAAACTAAAAATAAAGTAACACAAACAGAAAAAACACTTTTTTTATTTTCATTTACCTTGAGTCCTAGGTCGTAGTCGAAAGGGGGGCAATGAGACCCCGGGGTCCCGAATAAACAGAAGTCAAAATCGTAATTAACAAATTATATTTTTGGCGACTCTGTCCCACCGCGCACATCAACGCAGCGACCCCACCAGAAATCATTCTTCTCGTTCTTCACCGAGCACCCGTCAGTTGCCAAAGTTGCCGTCGTCATAAATAAAACTTTGATTAGAGGAATAGATTGCCGTGTCGTTCGTCTTCAACAGACACAACGTGACGTCGCAACGCAGTTTGTGCGAGAGCCGGGGGCTTATGGGACCCCGGGGTCCCGCCATAAGGTTTAATTGCGCGCACACACGCACACACACGCGCACACACACACACACGCACACACACACGCACACACACACGCACACACACACACACCACACACGCACACACGCACACGCACACACACACGCACACACACACGCGCACACGCACACGCACACACACACGCACACACACACACGCACACACACGCACACACGCACGCACACGCACGCACACGTACACACGCACGCACACACGCACACACACGCACACACACGCGCACACACGCGCACACACGTGCACACACGCACACACACGCACACACACACGCACACACACCACACACACGCACACACACGCACACACACACGCACACACGCACACACACGCACACACACACACGCACACACACACACCACACACACGCACACACACGCACGCGCACACGCACACACACGCGCACGCACACACGCACGCACACGCACGCGCACACACGCACACACGCACACACACGCACACACGCACACACACGCACACACACACGCACACACACACACACACGCGCACACACACGTGCACACACACACACGCACACACGTGCACACAAAGACAAAAGTCCCCCACATAGCCTTTTGTAGACCGTTATGGCGCACGCGGGGGTGGGTGGCCAAAACCACGTCCGACCACCTTTGTCTCCCCAGTGGCGATGTTGACACACGGAGCCACTACAGGTGTTGGCTGTGGGCAAGAAAGGGTTTTATTCGCCACGACAGTTTGCACAGACAAGGAATGTACTATGGCAGGAAGGTGCATACATTCAACATGTAGGAATCTTAAAACTTAAATAAGTGGTATACAGTCTAACTATACTAAAATGACAAAGTCTAACTAATACTAAGGGGCTAAAGTATGTAAAATTTTGAATAAGTATACAATATAAGATGTACAATCTTAAAATACAAATAGGGTGACCTGTTGTAAATATGGCAAGGTGTAATTTTGTAGATGAAATGTTAAAGTGTAAAGTTCATTTTAAGCCCTTGGCCTTGCTGAAGAGGTCAACAGCGGATGGGAAGAAACTGTGTTTATGACGTGAGGTTTGGTCCTGATGGACCGCAGCCTTCTGCCGGAGGGGAGTAGCTGGTACAGAGAGTGTCCAGGGTGCGAGGAATCGGCCACAATCTTCCTCGCTCGCCACGATCACACTTTCCAACTCGCACGCGCAAACGCTCACTCCCAGCGCGAGAACGACCCGTCACATCTCGGTGAGGACCCGTACCCGTACACGGCCGCACCAGGGTCGCAAATGGTTACCCGTACTTGGCCGGTTCCGGGTACCCGTTCCCTACCCGTACCCTACCCGAAATGAGTGACAAACGGTGACTCACCAGTGACTCACGGCCTACCTGTACCCGGCCGCACCAGGGTTGCAAATGGGTACCCTACCCGTACCCGGCTGCACCAGGGTCGCAAACGGCTACCCGTACCCGGCCGGGTACGGGTAGCCGGGTATCGGGCAGGGTACGGGTATCGGGTACCCGGTTGCGACCTCTGGCCCCCACCCAGCAGCACATTGACAAACGGACTTCACAGCAGACGTCGACAGCGGATGTCGACGTCGCCGCCTGGAGCGGAGAAAGCGCTCGCAGGTGACAACACCAGCGGCACCACCGCCCCCTTTCCGGCGCGTTCTGACCGCCCGCAGGACGTTCCTGCGTCACCGCGAGCAGGAGAAACATGCGCTGCTCGCCGAGCTGCGGGCCGACGGGGAGCTGTGTCCCGTGCTGCGGCACACGGTCCCCTACGGCCTGGCCTACCACCACGGCGGCCTCACGGGCGAGGAGCGCCGCCTCATCGAGGAGGCCTACTTTGGCGGCACGCTCTGCCTGCTGGCGTGCACCTCCACGCTGGCGGCCGGCGTCAATCTACCGGCACGCAGGTTCGCCACCTCGGTCGTCGGTGCATTGCGGTGTCGGCCGCACCTCCGATTAGCACGGCTGGCTATGTACGGCGCGAAAGAAGTTGAGCGCGTGTGTACATAACCGCCGTGAAGTTAGCCATCAATCATGTTGTGAGTTGGGGGAGTGTTTTGGCATCGGCACGCCAGAGACGTTTAAAACGTGTAAATGAAAGATGTGCGCCTTCAATTTTAGATACTCATTCGCCACGCAGAAGCCATTGGCATAGCGCGGTAAAAAGTACGCGGTCACCTTGCACAAAGTCTCCGATGATTTTTAAGGTGGTACCACGTGTTGTTTGGCATGATGTTCTTGAAGAAGCTGTCAACACGTAGGGCGACATGTCGGACGTCGTGCCAAACGACAAGCGGCACGACCCGAAAGCACATCGGAGTGCTATGCGTCACAACCACGCTCGAATGTTTTTCTTGTTCGTCGATAACTTGTGGATCGTCTCCTGTGCCTCCTGCCCCAACGCACGCACCTGCCTTCAGGGTGATCCTCCGCTCCCCCTACATCGGCAATTCCTTCCTAAGCCGAAGCCAGTACAAGCAGATGGTGGGCCGTGCCGGGCGGGCGGGGATAGACGCGTCGGGAGAGAGCATCACCATCGTCAACAGCAGGGACAAGCCCAAGGTGTAGCGGCTGTTCTGCTGCCATGCTCCCAATGTTAGAATTAGCTGAAGGACGTCCCATTCAAAAGTTGAGCGTCTTGTTAAATGATCACACCGGCCTACAGACCTTGTTCTTGTGTAGCGGAAGTGTGCTCTTTGTAATCGATTTCTCTGTCACCATTGGAACCTCCTTTGCCAGTCGCAAAATATGATTTAAAAAATGTACCCTTTTATCTGGCAACAAAACTGACACCTTTTTTACAAGGAGTCATGTTTGCATTGACCACAATACCTGCGGTCGGAATGCTAACAAAAACACAACTCTGATAATGTACGCACTGTCCTTGAAGTTGATTGGCCCACACCTGAGACAGCTTTCCTTAGAGCCTAGTCTCACATGGTGTTGGACCAGATGACGCCAAAATGCGCACAACTCAAAGACAACGCACCATCAGAGTATGAGAGCTCGGGGTGAAGCATTTACACCATTGGAACCTCATTTGCCAGAAGAAAAAATATGATTTTTCTGCGTTTTTTCTACTTGTAGGTGGTGACGCTACTTGTGGATGGACCATTTGAAGTTTGCCAGAGTAGCCTGGCACATGCAGATGGAAAAGGAGTTCAAAGCCTACTCCTGTCACTCATTGGCTTGAAGGTCAGTTTCTGTTCTGCTTATAACGTAAATTACGCACGAAATGAACTGCAGTGACGTTTCCATGGAAATGTTACGCAGCAACCAGGAGACAAGTCTGTTTAATAATACTCGGCACCTGTTTGTGTGTTTTTGGAGCCGATGTTTACCGTTTACAAACTGCTGGGGCAACAGATGCATGCATTTGACACGATACATTTGATATGAAACGGTTCGTGGTAGTTACATACTCAGAGTTTAAATAGATCATGCTTCATAATCAACGTTGTTGGGTTTAGATCGCCGCGTTATTTATAAATGTGTCGTAACCCTCCACCACCCGACACGGCCAATCAGTAAAAAAGTGTCACGTTGACAAAAGACAAAATAGTTCACTGCTTTAGCCCACCGGTGTGTTGAAGCGTGAAACCACAACATTTACAATTTGAGTAGCACGACGTTTCGCTGGTAATTGCATCCAGCATCATCATCGGGCAATTCGCCAGAATGGTGAGGCTCTGCTGTGTCTCCTGATCTTATATAGAGCAGCAGCAGCAGCAGAGTGATGTCATCATTAAGTCATCAACTCATCAGATCATGCTTGTTTGAGTGAACCCCAGGCTTGGATCGTCTTTTTAAGCTGGGTTGCAAATTATTTTGTCAAGGCGCTCTTCCACCTCCAACCCAGCTTAAATATATGCTAAACTCCTCTTGATATGCAAATTATTTTGTCAAGGCGCTCTTCCCCCCCTCCAACCCAGCTTAAAAACACGCTCCAAGCCTGGGGTTGTCATTCAGACTCTGTCTTCTCGACAGACCTGTTCCTCACCTGAAGACGGCTGCTTGCGTTGTGGCCGAAACGTCGTGAGAATTATTTTATTATGTTTTATTTTTCTTATTTTTATTACTTCCCTTCTACGTGATGACTTTACCGAAAGAACCAAGAAGAAGACATTTATTGGTTTAGTAAAAATAAATGGTGCATATATATGTGTGTATCCCTTGCGATTTGAAACATTGTCACGATTTGGAGCAGTGATTCAAGAAGAAATATTTGTTTAACAATGTGGTGAGTTGTAATGCCAATAGAGGCTACAGAGTTCACGCAAATACATATTTCATGTATTCCTAGACGCACGATCAAGTGTGTAAAATGAGCGCCAATGATGCATTTTCTTGATGAATCCGAACCGCTACTCGCGTAATCATTTGCGTTGCTTGTTGACGATTCGAACAAATATTACGAATTCTAGATTTGAAGCTTTCGTGACTTCAAGGATTCATACCCTTAGTTCTTTCGGTAAAGTCACCGTGTAGGTAAAAATGAAATGAAAATGAATAAAAATAAAACGTGAATTTTAATTTCATTTTTTACCTACGTGACTTTTACCGAAAGAACTAAGGGTATGAAATATACGAATTGACAAACCGCATTTACAACCCTTTGCTGGTAACAGATCGCAACGGACATCGACGCTATCCATCGCTTTTTGGAGACCACCCTGTTTGGGGTGCAGCAGCAGCAGCAGGAGGGTGGTGGGATGAAGAAAGTCAGGGATCTGTGCCGGCACTGCCTGCAGCAGCTGCAGCAGGCGGGCCTGGTGAGGCTCTGCAGGAGGTCCGAGGGAGACGCTGCTGCACCCTCTGAGCAGCTGCTGGAGGTTACCAAGCTTGGTCAAGCCACATACAAGGGTAGTAATATTCGTCTTCTTGCTTCTTTCGGTGAAGTCACATAGAAGGGAAATAATAAATAAGAAAAATATAACATAAAATAATATAATAATTTATTTTATTATGTTTTATTTTTCTTATTTTCGGTAAAGTCACGTAGAAGGGAAATTATAAAATAATAAAAATAAACATTGTAAAATAATAGAATATATATATTTTATTATGTTTTAGACTGCAGGGATTCATCTTCTTGGTTCCTTCGGTAAAGTCACCTAGAAGGGAAAAAAAAAAAACTTAATAAAATAATATAATAAAATATTTAATGTTTTATTTTTTTATTTTATATTTCCCTTCTACGTGGCTTTACCGAAAATTATAAAATAACAATGTATTTTATAATGTTTTATTTATTTTATTATTTCCCTTCTACGTGACTTTACCAAAAGAACCAAGAATATGAATCCCTGCAGTCACGAAAGCTTTAAATTGAAATCTACAAGGTAGATGTTTTTTTTTGCGAAGCTAAATCTCACTTTTAAGGCAAGCCTGACATTTACTTTCAAAGTGACGCTGTAGTCGGCTTCGTGCACCGAGCGCACGTGCACGAGCGCACGTGCACGAGCGCACGTGCACGAGCGCACGTGCACGCACGCAGTGTTCTAATGTCGTGTTTGTCTCGCAGGATCCAGTCGATTTGGCTTTTTTGTACCGTGCTGTACCGAGATCTAAAAGCGGGCGTTGAAGGCTTGGTGCTGAATAACTACCTGCACCTCATCTACCTGGCGACGCCGTACGACTTGGTCTCTCAGTGCAGACCGGACTGGAACACGTACATGCGACAGGTGTGGACACATTGCATCACGATATGTAACAACAATACATATAATCGGCTTATTTAAATGTGAATTATAGATAACGCTCTGATTTGTGAAAGTGATAGCTTCTTTTAAGATTGTTATAAGGGTATTGAGATTGGTGGGCTATGTGTAGAAGCTTTAAAATTATCTTAATATATCACTATTATTTGAAATGGGTTATTCTGTATTTGAAAATGCTACATTCATTGTATTAAATGATACCCTTAATTCTAGATTTGAAGCTTTCGTGACTGCAAGGATTCATATTCTTAGGTTTTTTCGGTAAAGTCACCAGGTAGGTAAAAAATTTAAACTTAATAAAAGTTAAATAAGATAAAAATAAAAATATGAATTTTACTTTTTACCTACGTGACTTTACCCAAAAAATCTAAGAATATGATGCCCTTAATGAATGCTAAGCTGTTAAAAAAATGCACAGGACATGTGTTTGTTTGTTTTGTAGTTTAATCAGCTGGATGTGACGGAACAGAAAGTGGCCACGGTCATTGGTGTTCCAGAGAGCTTCATCGCCAGGAAAGTAGCCGGACAAAGCACAAGACAGGTGCCTAGGTTTTTAAGCCAAAGATTTTAATGGTTTTGATGTTCTTATTACCTGTGCCTACTTTACAATGTCAGAGATTTACACCATTGGAACCTCCTTTGCCAGTAGCAAAATATGATATTTTGCTTCCCCCGAGCTCTCATACTCTGATGGTGCATTGTCTTTGAGTTGTGCGCCTTTTGGCATCATCTGGTCCAACACCATGTGAGACTAGGCTCTAAGGAAAGCTGTCTCGGGTGTGGACAATCAACTTCAAGGACAGTGCATACATTATCAGAGTTATGTGTTTTGTTTGCATTTTGACCGCAAGTGTTGTGG